TCACCACTGTTGACCAGGATGGTCTCGATCTCTTGACCTCGTGATCCACCCGCCTCGGCCTCCCAAAGTGCTGGGATTACAGGCTTGAGCCACCGCGCCCGGCAATCCAGGTTCTTTCTAGTGGAGATCCTGGTTCTTCCCAGTCTCCAATCATCATAAATGACGCAATCAAGTTTCCCACATTGGAGATAATCGCAGAGCTGAGCACATCTGGAGTGGAATACATGAGCCTTGCCCTGAGAAAACCTCCTTCCAATCGTGGCGTTTCCCCTGCCAGGGAAGCATCCATTCTGCCATCCTTAACTTGTCCTCAGGCTCATCACCTTGGGGGTCAGAGGACGGCTGCTGCCGTTCCAAGGTGTCATGTATCTTTCTCAGGCGGAAGCAAGGGAAGGGACAGCTCTAGCCACATCCGTTCTAAACTGACCTGACCGGCTGGCAGTCTGAACTGAGACCTGATTCTGTCTGGAAATCCCAGACCCAGCTTAGGTCCTAAAGGATGAGGCCTTGGATTCACAGAGCTGTGTTGAAGGAAAAGACCCTGGCCTCTGGGCCCTTCCTGATTTAAGGATCTTTGGGACAATGTGGGATCAGCCATGGAGCATCCTGCTTCCTGGGCTCCCACCCTGTCAGCACCAGACAAATCCTCAGACTCTCTTCCCCTGCCCACTGAGGAGAGGCTGGGGAGCGGCAGGGAGTGGACAGAGGTCACACACCTGGTGGTGACATTGCCCTCCCTCCCCTACACAACCCCCACCTGCCAGTCACCTCACTCTCCTCCAACTCTCCTCCCAACTCCCCCACACACCTTTCATGACATCAGTTCCTCTGGATCCAGGGAAGGAAACCCCATGCTGCTATTAGCATGATCACAAGAGAACCAAGAAGGCAAATCCACAAGGGCTGCCATCACCACACCATCAGCATCACTGTCACTGTTGTAATATTCCCCAAAGCCCTAAAAAGAGGATGCTGGTGTCTTGGGTTACCTGCACCACAGCCAACTCCTATTTTTTGTGGGATGGTTTAGTAAAGCTTTCCTGCTGGACTCAGGCCCAGGCAGTGGGAATCACAGATTTATAACACCTGCTAATCTGATGCTCTCATCCACTGAGAAGCCACTGAAAGATGAGGCTGTGGCTCTGTAGGCAGCGGACTAGGTGCAAATCCCAGCCCAAGCCCTCATAAGCTGAGTGACCTCAAACAAGGCATTTTCACTACTTTGTGCCCAGTTTTCTCATTAGTAAAATGGGGATGATGATAACACCTACCTGGAAGATGTGTTGGGATGCTTAAAAGATAGTGCATGTAAAATGCTACAGTGTCCCGCAGGCTTAGCTGTTGTTATGCAGCAAATATCTCCTGAGCACCACGCAGCAGGGCAGCTGCCCCTCCTATCCCTTTCCCCCTCTCTACAGTAAAGGAATTCTCAGCATTTACTTGGGAAAATGTAGCCTATATTTCCTAGAATAAAAGCTACATTTGCCAGATTCCCTTGTAGCTGGGTGTGGCCACACAGTTAAGGTCTGGCCAGTGAGCCGTGAGAGACTCCGGGGTTGTGTCCTTCAAGGGATGGGCTTAACCTTTCTTTCTTTTT